AAAAAAAAAAAAAAAAAAAAAAAAAAACAATTTGGAGCGGCAGTATGTTCATATAGTCCGAGTTTCAAAAGAGTTGCGTGAAAAAGCGGAGCATCGAGATGAGCACGAGCGTCGCCGCGAGCGTGTCACCGCAACACAATGAGGGGAAGAAAAAGCAAAAGGGTGTCTCGGCCCGAGCGGCAGACGGCGCTCAAGGAAAGGCCGCCCGGGTTCATTTCCAGTTCGTTAATGGCCGCGCGTGCGTCTCTGGCGCGCGGCCGCACAAAAGACGCAAAGAGCGGCCGCGCCCGCGGGACTCGCGCTGTCGCTGGCGATGCGGCCAATTTTTTTTTTTTTTGTCTTTCTCAAAGATGAAGAAGAGATGAAGAAGAGGAAGAAGACCCTGGCAGACAATCGGGCACCCCCCCTCGCCGCCTCTTCACCCCCACGTGCACGCGTCCACACAATTTGCCGCCTTTGTGGCTTTTGTCCCGTGCGGGAGAAAAGACAGCAAAAGTGAAATTTCCACAATCAGATCCTCATCTGCTTTTTTTTTTTCTTCCGCCGTGGCCCGTGCCCAGGGTGGGGGGGGCGATCCTGTCCAATTCCGATGTAGGTCACTTTGGTTTCTTAATGACCCTCAACATATTTTCAAGTTTTCTTTTTTTCTTCCCTATTTTAACATTTGTTTTCTTTGCGGGAAAATGTTAATATATTCGACAGCTTTATGATTTAAAAAAAAAAAAAAAAAAACGTTCCTATGCAATGTTTTTCTCAATGAAAAATCAGCAAAATACAATCATGAGAAATGATACATAAATGGGATCTCCCATTCAAAAAAAATCCCTCAGAGAATTTATTTTGAAGATTTGTTTTTTAAACTAATTTGAAAATCCTCCCCATCCACTGAAAAAAAAAATCTATCGTACAACCAAATGAAGCCACAGACATTTTTTCTTATGAAATATTACATACTTTTCAAATGATGATTTTCTTCTGAACACGAACCAATTCCAAAACAAAAATAATCTTTCATTAAAATATGCTTCAAAAAAAAAAAACAGATTTCTTTCAGACTCGTTTCTTTAAATATTTTTTTAACAAAAGCAAATCAAATAATAAAAAGCCTACTTAGAGATCGAGTATTACATATTGTAAGTTGTTCAATCATAACTTTTTTTTTTCAACGCAATTGGGAATTCTGATTGAGGATTTATTTCTATTACCTCAGAGGCAACATTTGCTCGGACTTTTTTTTTTTTTTTGAGGGAGCACATTTATTTTATTTATATCTTTTGTATACAATTGATATACAGTAATCCCTCATTTATCGCGGTTAATGGGGACCAAAACCACCCGCGATAAACGAAAATCCGCGAAGTAGCGACCAATTAACATAAACAGGTTAAAAAAAAAAAAACTGCAAAACAGCGAGTCACATAGAGCAACATATACAGAACTGTACTCCATGTATATAAAAAAAATAAATATATATACATAAAGGTTGTGGCTGCCACGTCACAAATAATAAGTTCAATAACACATTCGATTCGAACATGGTACGTTTTGCCATAAATCTTAAAAGGTTTTGAATGACTTGGCACCACAATATAATCAAAATGATTTTTTTAAATCGCTATCTGCCCCCATTTTATGCCTCCAATGTAGTTTTTTTTCATCTTAATTATTTCTAAACTGATCAAAGTTCCCCAGTGTGGGACAAATCAAGGTTATCTTATCTTATCTTATTTCTCTGAAAGAGCCAAACTTACAAAATAAAAAGTGGAAGTAAAATACAAAAACAAATGCAATATGCGGGGGAAAAAAAAAAGTATTTTGCGCCACTGGCACACCTTTGGATGTGACCGCAATACTTTGGTGCTCCTCGTGTTTCCGTGTAAATTTGGAGCTTCTGTGGGCACATTTTCATTCAATTCCGATTCATCTCCTCCGTGATGAAATGGCGTCCCCCCCCCGACCCCTCGCCCCCACCCCCACTGTTGCGCTGCACGACGCGAGGCAAGCAATAAGATGGCGGCGCATCAGTGCGTGAAAGACACAAAAAAACAAAACAAATAAAACAAACCAAAAAGACAGCCCAAGTGGCACGTCCACAATTGGCGTCTTTTTCCTGGGCCGCGCCTCCCTTTGCGATTCCGATGTAGGTCACTTAACATGGTCGGCGATTGTGAAGATTTGACAAAGCAAGAGACCAAAGACATATGGATCGGAGCCGATGATCAACAAAGCGGCGGCGCGAGGGGGCCCCGCTATTGATTGATGGCGCTGATGCCTGTCAAGTGCAACTTTCAGCTATTATCCGGCCGCCGCGCGTGTGCGCGTGTTAGGGCCGAGGGGGAGAGGGGGGAGTTGTTTTGGGCCGGGGGTTCCCGGCCCAGATGGCGACTTTTTGGTCCACATTGTCTTCGGCTTTCCGCACACGTCGCGGCGGCGGCGTTCGGAGGCGCCCAAGAACAATTAAAGTGGGACGGACGCAACTCCAGGCTACGCCAAGGTCAAAGTCGTATGAAGTTATTGATTAGCGGCCGACGGCTTATTATTGCCTGCGCCGAGCTCAAGGCGACGCGCGCCGGGAGGCGGGAATCCGGCCCACGCCTTGACTGGGAGAGACCATCCTATCTTTTTTTTTTTTTGCTCTCCCGACGCTAAGGCTGAGAAAATGGCCGTGCTTTTTGAAACATAGAATAAAACGTTGGAGGGGCTTTACTGGGGCTACACCCATTTTGGGGCAGGGCCATCCCGCGGCTGCCGAGATCATTTTGTCCGCCGAATGAGGTTCGCCCAATAGCGTGACTGCCGCTGCCATTTTCAACTTTCTGGCACCATGTCAGGGAAAAAAATATTTCAAAATAATTGACAAATAAGTACCAATCAGCAAATGCCGGATGACAAACCGATGGGAGTTCACGGCATGTGGATTGCTGGAACATTTTGGCAGCAGTTTGAATCAGGCAAATTTGTGTGAGTTTTCTTTTACTGAGGAATAATACCGTATTTTCCACACTAAAAGGCGCACTGGATGATGAGGCGCGCCTTCAATGAATGGCCTATTTTGTCATGTTTTTTTTTTTTCATACATTGGGCACATCGCATTATAAGACGCAATCTACAATGCATCCACTAGATGGAGCTACGCTCATGGTAACGCCAACAGAACGATCAGATGTCAGTAAAACGTATTTAATAAAGCAACAACACAGTTCACTTAACCGAAGGAGTTCTCTGAGCGGGGAGAGCCATTTTGGGGGGGGGGGGTCGAAATATTACCCTAATGACCATACACAAGGCGCATTTTAAGGCACTCTGTGAGCTTTTAAGAAAATGGAAGGCTTTTAGGTGCGTCTTTTAGTGCAGAAAATACGGTAATGAAGAATGGGGAAAAAAATCCGTTCTTTTACATTTTTTCTCATGTTTTAAAGTGCACGGAAGGGATCAAACTATTCAAAAAATGTACAGCAGATGCTCTGTTGATCCCCCATGATCAAGTGGAGTTCACTGAAGAAAAAAAATAGCGTTAATGTCAATTGTTGATCTGAAAATGAACTAAAATCAGAAATTAGATTTTTGTTGGTTCAAAAGCAGTCCGCTTTTCTTTTCAGACCGTCTCCATCAGACAAACACGAAAGGTGTCACAAAGACGCCGCGTGTGGAAGTGTGACGGTTGAGTCTCGCGCGGTGGCGGCGGCGGCCTCTCCATCTCCGCGGCGTGTGCCGGTCGTCACGGCGACGGTCACATCCATGTGACAAGCGGCGGCGGAGGCTGATGGCAGCTTATCGACGTGCGACCTTTCACTTTCAGGTGCGGCGGCGCGAGAGACGATCGGGCCGGCGGAGCGCGGCGAGGCGCAAACGGCCGGCCGCGCCGAGACAGAGATGAGGACGGACAGGTCGCCGGGCCGATATCGGACGCCGTTCTCTGAGCGACGGAGTTTGGCGGGAGAAAGTTTGCGCGGCGCGAGGACGCAGCTGGCGGATGTCATTGGGAGGGGAGGGGGGGGGGCACACGGCAGGTCGCGTCTGAAGCTTTGACAGCCGACGTCAAGACCGCAAGCGCGAAGACACGTGACGTTTGCTTGACGGCATCATCGTAAACGCTAAGCTACATTTGCGGCAGAAATTCCGGGTGGAAGGACTAATCCGCGATCACATTCATCAATTAGTTTTTTGTTCGTCAATGAATCATTTTCTGACAACCCTTTTGCCATTTCGTAAGACTGCTCGCAGTTTTACACTTGCGACTAATGAGGCTAAACTCATCAATGTGTGCCAAGATTTACTACTCAAGGTCAAAAGGTCGCTTGGCTTCGTTTCCAGTCTCAAGAGAGTCCCGGGCGCCCCCTGTTGGGTTTTGTGTGAACAGCAGCTGATTGCGCAACTTCTTTGTACACTCAAGTGACAATCAACTATTCTCACAAGTTAATTGAAAGATTGCTTTTTACGCCACGTGCAACCTTGGAGAAGGTCAGAGTTGAACCTCAGTAGAGTACCAAATCAGAAATTCATTGGAAAAGTGAACAAAGGCGATGCGGGAAAGGAAGAAAAAATAAAAGGACTCTTGATGTTGTTCGGTTTGTGCGACGCTGACGATTTGTATGCCGAAAGTGGAAAACGGCTTCATGACAAGACAGACAAAAGGAGGCGGGTCACCCGTGTCGGGTGTGTACACGCGTGCCAACTCATTAGCTTGAGCGATGCGGGTCCGCGCACGTGCGCACGCAACTCAAGTGTATTTTGTGAGCACTTGAAAACAACCAGCGCTGTCTACAAAGTGTTGTGCATGGAGCAAAAATCATTCATTCAACAACAAACAATAAAACGAGGATAGCGACGACAGTAGAAAGCCCCAAAACGGTCAAACGAAAAAAAACAAAAAAAATTTAAATCCCAAACTGCCAAATCTCAAAAAGTTTTGTTTTGCGACTATTGACGCGAGCGAGCCCTTTGGAATTTGGCCGAGTTGTGACCTGGCAGTGAGGCGACTTCGGCATTCAGAATCGTGACATTAAAAGCGACCAAAACAGAGTCGACTCTCGTCACTTTTTCTGCTCTTTAGTAAGCAGCGGTCGAACATGAGTTTTGCTTTCACCAAAAACACCGATTTCTGAGCCCCCTCCCCCACCAAAAAAAAAAAAAAAGTTTGACATACAGTATTGTATATTGTTAGAATTCATGTCATGTTTTGTTTTTTTTGTGGAGTCGATCAGCGCTGAGAAAGGAGGAGCGGCTGCACTTACTGATGGGCGATGCCGGCTTGTTCCCGGCGGGGCCGCAGTTTTTGGCGTGGTTGCCGTGGGGGGGCGGAGCGGGCTTGTAGGACTGCCCGGTGGCCCGGTACATGGCCTGCACCCAAAGCGCGCGGTCCTGCTCGTCCTCGCAGGCAAACACCACCAGGTCGCCCTCGCGCACCGCGTTGAAGAACACGCGGCCGCCCTGCAGGCCTGCGCCGCCACAAAAATCAATCCATAAATCAATAGGAAGAAGAACACACCTTTGAGTTTTGCGGTTTGGCGACCTGGCTGCGGGTGGCAGTAGTCCACCGTGTAGCCTTCCAGCTGCATGAGCTCCTGCGGTTCGGGCTTCTTCTCGCGGTAGCTGCACATGGCGAACGTGTACTGGCTCACCTGCGCACACGACATTCAAAATTGCAGGCTGACTCGTCGGGAGCGGTCGGCGCCGGCCACGACAGAACACGCGCGCACTCCAAGCCGTTCTTACCTGAACCAGAACAAAGTACCTCCTTTTCCAGCGCTTCCACACGCGATGTCCCAGCGCGTACAAATAGCTGAAGGCAAAGCAAAGCGAGGCAAGTTTTATTCCCGCGGCGCCTATTCGGACACGACGTGCTTCACGTCGTCACTAAAGAGTCATTAGGAGTGAATGAGTTCACCCCAATGACGTTTTTAAACGTCTTTTTAGACTTGGTCTCGAATTGGCTGGTATTGAATGAGTGAGGAGGCCAAACACGACATGCAACGGCAAACAAATTGGAACGGCGTGGTAAGACACGGAAGAACTGAAGCCATTTGAAAGCAACGCGGAGAATTCAAAAGACACACGGAAGTTGCATGACTTCACCGTCGTCATATTTGAGAAATCAGTCACATAAACTGCGGCAAATGTCGTGCCCGGCAACCTTTCTGACACGGACTTCAATTTGCCTATTTTGACTTTTAGTTTGTTGAGTTAAGTCCACCCTCATAGTCGAATAAACATAAATGCTGTTTTAAAAAAATACATTTCTAATCAATTGAGAAAGCTCAATGATGAGGTACAGTCGTTGATATCAAGCTGGAAGACTTGGTCAAATGGTGAAAAAAAACAGTCGTGTTTTAATCTTAAAAAAAAAAACGTTGAGAAGGGTCATTGAAAACATTAAAATTGTTATGTTCATAAAATTCTGTGACTTTGCTTGCATTGATTTATTTTAACACAATGCAACATTTCAAACACATTTGAACTAAAAAAAAAAAAACAATAGTTGTACAATTGTAACACAAAAAAAACCCTTGTATAGTTTTTGATAAAAATATTTTTTGTAAAAGTCAATGAGCATTTTTTAAAAAAAAATTAAATAAATAGGATTTCCCCCCCACAAACAAAAACAATCTACATAGTCAAAATTTTACTACGTACCCCCCCCCCCGAGAAAGTCTTGTATTTTTCACGCATTTCCGATCACAACAAGCTGTCGGTGTTAATGTATTGCATCAAAATGAATCTGGACGTGCGGAACGGGTCTTTGGCAAAAGTCGAAGCTGTCAGCGTGAACGCAAGCGGGAGACAAAAATCAATCAGGCGGTAAAAAAAAAAAAAAAAAAAAGAAAAAAAATGGAAAAAGAAAGCAAGCAAGCGAAGAAAAGGCTGCAGTCAAGGCCGGAGCGCAAAGCGGGTCAACACGTGTCAACTCTTCAGCCACTCCACACAAATCATTTCGGCGCAAAGCGGCCCCAGCCGACACCCCTTTTATCCTTATTGCGGCTCGGTTCGCTCAAAGAAAAATAGTCATCCTAATCATATGAACACAGTTAAATATGTGGCGGATGATGCGGCATGATTTGGAAATGAAAACAAATCAAACTGAACAAAATGTGTAGAAGTATTCGGTATAAATTTACAGAGGCTTAAATTCCTCCTCCCACTTTAAAATAAATAAATAAATATAATTTATGAATCAAATATCTTGGAACAAAAGGACATTTTCAAACTGTAGCTAATTTCCATTTTGTGTCGCACATTGTTTTTTTTTTTTGTGTGTTCTGACTGCAAACTGGAAATGGTCAAGAAATTAGTGGAAGTCATCACTCAGCGCTATTAAATCCGGAGTTTTCACCAAAATGAAAGGATTCAACGATCCTTTCATTTTTTTTTTTTTTTTTTGCTCTTTTGCTTTTCAAGTCAACATTTATTCATCACCATGTGATGCCAGTATTGCCAGTCGGGTTTAGATTTTGATAAATCCAGCCGTCGTATTGTCGTGGCAACGCACATGTGTGCGTGTGTGAGTTCTGCCTTTTCTATCGTATCGCCAAGATGAGAACGTGACCAATCTATTTGACTTGACTCAAAAAGAAAAGTAAAGGACGGCAGACAGGTGAATGACTGCTTGACGTGAAGCGAAACGACAAAAAAAAAAACTGCGCAACGGTGTCAATTACGTCTGGAAATATCGACAAATGAAAAAAAAAAAGCGAGTGGAAGCGAGCTTATTGCAATTGCATCCATCTGCAAATTTGCCATTTGAGTTCATCAAGTAGCCACCTGGGAAGCACTCGGGTATCAACTTGGAGTTGTCATGGCAACAGAAGACGTTCAAGGCCTTGGAGGAGCACAGTCAAGTAGGTACGAGCGCGTACGCGGGCTTTTCACATTTCAAAACAATGTCTTGCTGCCATCTTGCGGTCAATACGTTGTACAGCCAAGTTTGGAGAGCCTTTTTTTAAATGTGTGTATATATTTCGGTTTTTGTTAACATACATTTTTGTCATTTCATTTAAGTCCAGTGTAAAAAGTTTTATTTGTACCTCATGATGAGTACAAAAAATATTCCAGTTATGCTTTTGATTTTAAAAAAGAAAACATCTGGTCAACACCTTTTTTTTTTTTTTTTAAATACAGTATTTCATTTTAGGGTGTATTTTAATATAATAATATTTCAATAAAATTAATCGTTTTTATTTTAAAATAAACAAGTAATGATTTGTAGTAGCTCACGAAATCTCCATTTCATAAAAATCCGTTTAAAATAAATATTTACTTTGATATGTTGCCACTGAAGGTATTTACGTTTTGAATTGATTGACACTTAAGTATCTGATAATATTTCAAATTTTTTTTTCTGGAAAAAGATTTTTTTTTTTTTAGTTTCTTACAAAAAAAGACTTCCTCGAGACGTGTTTAAGTTTTAATATATTTTAACATCTTTCAATGAATACAATTTTTGTAATTTTTTACAACATAAAAATGTTAATGAGGTATCCTGATACCTCATTGTAGTACTTTGTTTAATTAATTGAATATTTAAGGGGTTGTGAGGGGCTAAAATAGGTCGACGTAATCATCACCAAAATGCCGAATTAATCGGTGCAAATCTGTATAAATTAATACAGTTAATTAACAGATTTAAAATATGAATGTGTGTGTGTGTGTGTGTGTACTTCGATATATTTTAGTTTGCTTTGCTTTTTTTTTTTTACAGAAGAGCCGCCTTGTGCCACTTCCCTCGTTCGCCAGCAGAGGGAGATGTCTGCACACTCAACTTCAAAGTGGTGAACGCATGTTCGCTTCGACTTCATCTGAGTGATCTGCGGCTCTGTTCGTGTGCTTGGTGCTCCCGTTTTGGTTGGCAAACGCACTCAGCACTTAAATGTTTGATGGTCAACAACGTCTGTGAACCGACAACCGGATGAGGATAACGTCACAATTGATAGTCTGCACCCCGACAAATTATTCTTGTGATTCTCCTCTTTTTGTTGACAGTCATCAATTCACCTTCCACATTTCTCAAGAGATTCAAACGCCCAAATATTTACATGTGGAGCATTCAGGGAAACCTGAAGAAGAAAAAAAAAACAGTTTTTACAGCACTTTCAAAAAGTGTGAAAAAATGAATGAGAATGAGACGTTCAACAAAAAAAGTTCCTCATCTTTCAAAGTCCAACTTCAAACTGTTCTCTTCATTTAGGAAATCTTGGGAAATATTAATCAAGTCCACATGCACACACACGCACAAACACCAGCACAGCTTTTGAGTAGAGGATAACAATTAGGAGGCGAATCTCTGCTCGTGGCGTCGAGTATGAGGGAGAAAAATGCCGTCACGTCGGAAGTCGGATAGGTTTGGGGACCTGACACTCGAACAGCGTATGGATGTAGCGGTAGGCAGGACAGGAAAAAGTGTTTGTGCCGATTGTGAGAAAAGACAAACGCGCGTAAAAAAACTCGAGCTATGAGGCGTGTCATTGGCCGGTTTCTTGGTTAGCATATCTGTCAATCAATTCTTACTTTGCGATCAAAAGCAGTTTGTCATTTTTGTTTTTGTTGCTTTATAGTTTGTGGCATTCATTTGTCTAAATTGGAGCACGCAACCTTGAGACCGAATGGGAGTGAGGGGTCGTTTGCCAACTCACCCGCTGTGCTTCATGTTGGGCGGCTTGTCCATACGCACGGCCAGTTTGATCTTCAGCTCGGCGTCCTGGCTGTTCTTCGGCACCAGCATGCGGTGGAAGTCGGCCTGCTTGGGCCCGTTGGTGGTGGGGTTCAGGACCACCTGAAAGGGGGCCCCCACCCGCAAGCGCGTTAGATTCGACGGGTCGCCGACCGGAAAAAGTCTCAGTCAGAGCTCGAAGGGGACTCACTCGGCCCAGCTCCTTGTCTTCCAGGGCCAGAACGCCGGTGTTCTCCATGAAGAGTTTGACTTTGACGGAAGGCAGCGGGTGCGTTGTGCAGAAGTCGCCCTGCGTGGCCCACCTCAAAAACACCAAAGACCAAACACTACAAGACGGCCGCACTGGATCAATCCCGCGCGCGCGATGTCGGCAGAACCACTTGAATGTGACACAGACGAGAACGAAACCTTGAGGGTGGAGCATCTGCGCTGTTATAATTGGGGCATTCTGGGAACACACGGTGTTGCTGGCTGTGCCGGAAGCCAGTCGGGGCATGAAAGGGCGACCTCGTTACCGCAAGGACCCCCCACCAACCACACGGCAGCTGGGAGACCACCATTTGAAAAGCGGAAATAAATCGCTGTTACAGTGTGTGCGTGTGTGTGGTGGTGGTGGTCGGGGGACTTGTTTCCAGCACAGAATTTCAGAGTCCCAGACGGGCAATCGATTGTAACGTGTGCTAAAAATGTCAATACGTTGCTGGGAAATACTCTAGTGTGGGCTCAAAATAGAAAATTATAATGACAAATATCGATGTATCAAGTACATCCGGAATACTAGTTTGGTACAATGTGTGCATAAAAGGCAAATGACAAATATGAATCCGATTCCCAGTCAGTGAAGTAAGCAAATGGAGCGCACCTTAACTCACTTGCAGGACAGGGCGTATGGTTGTTTCTCACAAAGGGTGCGCTCCATTTGCTTACCCTGACAAGCAAGCTGCTGATGCGAGTGACTTTCAAGCTGTTCCAAAGTAGTTTCTGGATTTTTTTTTTCCTCCATGTCTTGTCTGGGGCTCCGTACAAGCGCGTTCACTCATTTTGCATAAACAAAAAGGGAAGCGGTGGAAGTAAAGACTTTCACGCTCGACATTGTCCGCCCAACTTTGGGCGTAACAAGCAGCGCAGTTGACGGGTGAGCGAGCATGCGCCGAGCTGGGAGGATAAAGGGACTGACTGGGGTCTGGAGGCTTCGGCCTGGTCCGTCTGCAGCTTCTCGCCTCCTTCCACTTCCATGGTGCAGTACACGATCCTGTTGGGAGCCACCGACTTCAGCCCCTGAACCTCCACGACCAGCACCTGAACACACCGCACGCACGCTCAACACTTTGCAGCCCGACGAGCTTCTCCAGACGACTGCTTGGACTTTTGTCGAGTAAGTTAAATATGTGGTCGCAGTCGGACAAAGTTTGAGGACCGATTTGTTTTTAAATGCCCCGGAAGGGGCCAAAATGACGCCTGGCAATGACTTTTGATGCAGTGGCCGCTGCAAAACAAAATGGCGGAGTTTCGGTGCCTTTGCAAGCATGGGTTCTTGAAACAATTTTTTTTTTTTTTTTGTGGATCCACTCATGAAAGATGCGCTAACCAAATTTCATGTTGTCAAACAATTCCTGGCAAATCGGATGCGTCAAATGATTTGGCCAAGACATCGCCGTTTGACCGCCGCTCACCTCCAGCGTGAAGGACAGCGAGACGTCCGACTTGGACAAGACGTCCACTTCGTCGCCGAGGTCCAGGAAGGAGTTGTTGAGCGAGGAGCGCTTGAGCTTCTGCTTGAAGTCGGCTCCTCCTTTGGACACGGGGAGGCTCTCCAAGTTGGCCATCAACAGGTTGATGGACGAGCGTAGCTCGTCGGCGTAGAGGGCATCCATGTCGGGCGACACGAACTTCGGGCATCTCCTCTCCTGTGGGACAAGCGACGTCGTCAGAGGGGGATTTTTTTGGGTTTTCCAGTTCAGTGAGCCACGACGGGCCGCAGCTCTGACGGAGGAGGAGCAACCCCCCCAGGACGTCTGCAAACCTCTGCCGGAGGCAATAAGTACGCCCACGCCTGCCTTGAGCTAGTTTCTGTAGTCGGGCATGAGACTGCCCAGCTCATGGGGCACCCGAACCCTTTGGCCCCTCCCACAGGTGATGAGCCCATGGGAAGGGGGCTGGGGGGGACCCACGTTGCCTTTTCGGGCGAGGCCGGCTCCAAAGGGGGACCCGCGTCCAAGCAAGGGGAAAACGCATTCCAGTGTTAGCACTCGTCCGAAGCCGTCGCGGACACTTGGGGCAGGGACCAGATTGCTTCTCACCGTGACGATTCTTTCCACCAGCTTCAATCGCCCGTCCAGCTCTCGGCGAATCTGCGCCGCCTGCTCGTCCATGTTGTCCAGCTGGAAGGAGAAAAGAAAACGGCAGAGCAATTATAAAGCCATAAGAGAGCAA